AAAAAAAAAAAAAAAAAAAAAGCAGATTTCAATATAGCAGACCCCTGATTTACGCATGTCTTGCGTTTATGCGATTTTTCTTTTTTAATTAGGGTCCAGACTGAAAAATGCCCTTCAAGATGCAGGTCATTCGTGTATATACACGAACGTTCACGAGATTTGCATGTATACACGAACGCCTCACAAGATTTGCAGGCGGAATCAACGGGAGCTGTGCTATGTGGTAGCAGCACCTCAAGATGCATAGGTGAGATGCTAGACGTGATTCCTAAAGGCAATTCCACCCAAAAAGGCGGGGGGGGGACTATGACTAAGGTATGTCTGGGGTAACGTAACCCCTCCCTATTCTATTATTTCCTATGGGGAAAGTCATCCTGGCTTACGCAAATTTGACTTGCACAAAATTCCCCTGGAACACAATACTTGTGTAAATCAGGGGTCTACTATACTGTCAATTTTCCCTGCACTGGTGCACCTCTACCTTTAAGATTTTAGGTACTTCGCAGCTTTTTTAGCCTTTTGAAAGAAGTGGCAGTCTTAATAATCTTAGGGGGCCAGAGGAAAGGCTAAAGCAAACAAAAACCCTACAACCTAAGCTCTTTCTAGGCATGGGAGCTAAATGAGAAATCATATTCTGTTCAAATCTCACTCTAATCTGCACAATGTAATCCTCCACTCTATGCTTTGCTCTGCCCTTGTCAGATTTCAGGTAAATGGGGTAATTCCTACTTTTCAAATGGTTAAGTCTCAAATCACCATTCTATCCATATTTGGAAGAGACTCCATAACTACAGGAGGAGAGAGGTCATTTTTTAAACTTGCTGCTTATAATTCTGCACTCTGAAATAAGAGTATACTAGAAAAGAAATGGATCAACTTAAAGTGGTAGAAAGTTGTATTTGTAAGACAAATGTACCACCAACAAAAATTCTATATTCTTTCCTGCAGTAAAGGCCTGAAAAAAATCACCCCAAACTCACTATGAAACAGAGGTGCAGTTTTAAATTGTAACTGCTTGCAAATTTGTTAAAGTCAAGATTCAAATCAGATGCATGGCATTTGTGCCTCAAAGTCCTAAAGCTGCATGGGAACAAGGACCATAAAGCTTTAATCTGGTGAACTACCCAAAGAACAGCATCCTTCTTTTATTAACTGCACTTACCGATCAGATTTCTTTAGGTTTAGTGCAATAGTTTTAATGCTATTATTCTTTCTTAAATCTTCATATTCAATAGATTCCTGTAACTTCACCTGAAATGAGATGCATGAAAAAACTAAACACAACCATGTAAGACCACATTGCACATATTCTGACAATGCATATTTTTCCAGTCTGTGAAGCTTCCTGACTGAAGGTTAAAAAAACTCCCAAAGTAAACAAAAAAATAAAAACCAGACTGGCTCTGATACTCAGCTCTGACATAGTGCTATTTGGGACTATTTAAAATTAGGAATGTAGACGTGACTTTTTGCAGCCAGAGTCACGGAAGGCTGCCAAAGGTTACAAAAGCCCTAAAGTACTCCTAGGCATAGCTGACCTTAGTGTTCACACTAATTACTAACAACGCAAAGGGGAAGAGATGGGGAATGTCCTAGAAGCTGTGATTTTCCTTCATGCTACCCTCTGACCCTCCTTATGTCTTCTGCCCATAGCGGACTGTGCTGGCTACATGCTTACGATTCCCTCAGCAGGGTAACACACAGTAGCCTTACAGAACTCTGACTTTAGCCAGTATCTCCCACCAAATCCTAATGACCATACGCAGACATATTAACTTAACTTTCAGAGCTTGTCCAACTTAATTGCTTAGAGCAAGCATGCTCAACCCCTAGCTTGTGGCACCACATCATCCAGAACACAGGGCTCCCCATAGGTCTGGAAATTTGCCAACAGAAATTTGGTAAGTTTCCAGACCCATAGGGAGCCCCAGGATGTGTATGCTGGACATGGTACTGGATCCTGGTACTCAGGGCCAAGTAAGGGTGGTGCCAGGCCCCAGGCTCCCGATGCCAATGGGCAGAGGGCAGGAAGGGGTGGTGCTGTGGGACCCCAGGGCCTAATCTGGCCTCATGTTATGCATTTGGCTGCAGGCCCAAAAGGTTGAACACCAGTCCTTTGAGGGATTACATCTTCAGTACACAAGTACCCAACACTTAGAGGTCAGACCAGATTACATAGTCTGAAACTGGACATCCTAAATTCAAGGGACTTTATCTTCTCAAAATTCAGTAATGATTAAGACACAGTTACACTGGGAGTTAGCCCAGTACTGAAGTCCTCATAAGAGTAACTAAGTGTTTACATTTAAAAAAACCCCAAAACATTTAATAAAAGAACGGAAATAATTTCACTGTAATTTCTTATATCTTCAAAACAAATCCAAAGCCACTTCAGATCATTAAAAGTAACTTCAAAATGGTATTTGAAAAGTTTAACAGAAGAAATGCTTGTCAAACTGTAATACCCTTTCAAAATGAAACTTGTTTCTCTTCAGTTGAAAATTCACTGGCAGATTTTAAATTTTGTTCATACCCTTTTCATTGGTGGCTGAAAGAAATCAGAATCTCTGGAGTTTCCATCTGTGCTGCTGGTCTCACTACAATGATCATTGTGCGCTTCTCTTAAAAAAAAAGAAAAAAAAAGGAAAAAAGTATTTGCTTCCCTTAACACTAAGTCACATGGTAGGGTACTAAAAGGTACTTAGACTGAAGATTAAACTGACTCAACAGGTATTTTATTCTAAATTATTTTTAAAAATCTGCATTTTAAGTATTGGACTCATGGGTTTAACTCTAAAAGGTAAATTCCTGAAATAGTTCTGTTTGACAGGGAACAAAAGAGGATAGAGATTCTTCCATCTCTGCACCAAGAAAAGAAAATGGACTCAACATAAAATGGGACTGCAGCAACATCACTAGGTAGCAAAGTGATTCTTTTTGCCAAATCAAAATGTGTCAAACACCACATGTATCAGTTATTTCCACTGAAACATGCTGGGAGTGTGAGATTGTTGGGCATGCTACCTTCACCCTCATTGGCACTCTGTTTTCATAGGAAGGAAGGAAGAACATGCATTTGAGGAAAGAAATCTGTCCTGTTGGGAAGGACGTATATTTAAAGGTCTAGCATTCAATTTAACACAAAAACCACCACATGCAAACAGCTGCAATGAGGAAAATACTTCCTCAACAGAGTGAATGGATCAATTCACTCTATGCAGGCAAGTGTGGCGGGACAGGAATCCCTCTGAAGCAACCCAGTAGACAACTGCAGCAGATCAAAACATGAGTTTTTTGGGTTTTGTTTTTTTTGAGAGACAGACAGAGAGATCTGGCTTATATATAAAATAAATAAATTCAGGTAAGGCTTCCCTCCTATACTTGAGCACTGGAGCATAGGGAGCCTTGAGCTCTGCTTCCTGGTATGCACGCGATATGAACTTCTGCATCTGACCATACCTCTGCACAGGAAGAGCAGACAACTTTTACTGAATTTCAGACTTTGTGTATTTAACTTGGGATAAGACTAGGGTAGAAGCACCCTTTCCTTCACTGTATCTCATTGTTTGCATGAGGTTAATTTAGCTGTCTATTATGTAAGGGACAATTTCTTAAAACACAACAAAAATTCACATTTTATTAAGTGGAAAAGGAAATGAGGGAGGCTTCACCTGGAGGCCTGTTATGCATTCTGGGGCACAAACAACATCATTCCAACTGTCTGGTACCTGACATGGCCCCAGAAGTTGAATGAGTTTTAAAGAATAAAAAAATATAACCCCAAATAGCTTTATTTTTAGTTCACATGCTTCTAGTTAAGAGAAGAAATCGAGTAACTGAAATTCAGGACTTATTTACATTTGTAGTGCTGTCAAGATTTAAGTTAATCCACAGTTCTAACATAGTCTTCCTATGCTAAAACTTACTGTTTCCTGAGCCCAGCTGCAAGAACCATGGCACTGTGATGGTTAAAGCGTTTTATAATGGCAGCATTGCTATTTTCTTTTATCGATTTTGATGAGTTTGATGTGGATGGTGCAGAGGCAACACCATAACCCTGCAAGGAAAGTAATTAACAATTTATTATGTTTTTCCACTTTTCTCAGTCTGCATTTCCTATTTCTTGAATTTTGCTGAATAAATAGCATTACAGTGTGCCTGAGGACTCCTGGCTTCTAGTACTCTCTGGGTTCCTAAGGCTGCCTGTTCCCCAGACTTGTGTAGCCTTGGGCAACTCACTTCTCTCCACCCCCTCCATTTCCTCATCTGCAATATGGGGGTAGTACTTCCCAGCCTCAGACATGCATATGGGAGAATTGATTTACACAAGTTTGAATTTGTAGTGCTCTATGTAAATACTAAGCTTATCTGCTTGAAAACTATTTGCTGGATTTCTGTTTTTCTTTTTTTATGTAACTGCAGTTATCTACTCAAGTTTCACTAGCATGCTATTGGGAAGGAAAAATAATCATAACCCCTTAAAAAAAACACCACCTTGTCATGTTTTTTTTAGGAATATGGTTTACAACGCAAGACAACATTATATTGAACTTTACTCAGATACCAGTTAATTCTTCTGTTCTAGGTATTATGTAGAAGATGCTTGACATATTTCATGCATGTCCACACCTGTTTGTGGCATAAGCTGGCTTAACATTAAGGTATCAAGGACTCTTTAAACAATCTTAAAGTGAACCTAAAAATAAGAAAAGGGACCAAAAACATGGTAATTTTTATATTCATTGTTATTTTAGACTTTAAAAATCATCTTTCAGAATTTCTGTGTACCACTATCTGGTGGTATCGTCTAAAATGGAGAGGGGAAGGGGCGGGAAGGGAAGTCAAACTTAGTTTTCCATGTACACAAAGCTATGCTTCTTAGAACTGAAAAGCCACATACCAGCGTGCCGAGGAAGGTGGCTGAAGTAACAAATCCAAAGAATAAAGAAAAAAAATTGTAGGATACTGATGGAGAAAACAGGGTCTGCTTCATCACAGTTATCCCCAAGTAAAGGAGTTATACTTGGATAGAACTGATGCAAGTAGAATCAGAACCACCACCATCTCAAAACAGAGGGAAAGAGACTCTGTGACAAATTATCACTTGGCATTGCAAGTTATTTAGTAGAAATTACATATGGTATTTAGTACTGGCTGTTTGCAGTCCTTTTTATTAAAATTACTGAAGTGCTCTTCACTTGTTTTGTTTCAGTTTTCATACTTACCTCATCTAAAGATTTATCTTCCAAGGCCATTAAATCTAACAGAGGATTTTTCACTCCTTGAGACACCATTGTTTTTAACCCTATGGAAGAACAAATACATCAAATGTCTTTTTGAAAAATGACACTAGAAAGGATATTCATTAAAACTCTGGACTAACAAAGCATTACAATTAAGAATTAAGCAAAGTCTGACCTGGATTTGAATCCATTGACATAATTCGACAATTATCTCATACAGTATACTGATTTACTGTGTATCAAACTAAGACAAAGTATAGATAAAAATATTTTTTTTTTCTGGAAGAAAGATTTTGCCATATTTAGAATTGTAGTTTAAATTACCAACATTTAGGATAATCAGACATTTAGGTTTGCAAAAAACAGTACACAAAAAAAAAGCACGAAGCACTATCTTTTTCACCACAAGAAATCCTATAGCATTGCAGTAAATTTATCTTTTGAAATATGTTTGGTGCTTGCATACAACTTTTTATGCATGTCTATACAGGTAAGAGATAGCACAGGACTGAAAGTTACTATATCACCCATTAGAGTCAGTCCTCTGCTTTTTACTTGGAAATTATTGTAGGAATTAATTCAACTAACTCAGGATACTTTGTTCTTACACAGTGCTGATCATAATACAGCACAAAGATATTCAATAGGGGATTATAGCTCATCTTTAGATGGAAGTTTCAGATAGTATTTAGAACAGAGAATTGGAAGTTCTTGCTAGTTCTCAAATAAGTTGTGTCTAATGAAAAAAAAAATTTTTGTTCATAAAGCACTTTGGGATTGTAGGATGAAGAGTACTATTTGAATACAAATCATTCAGGTGTTAAAGGAGCTTCATACATATCATGTGAGTAATGCATCAATTACAGCGATGATGAAGGGGAAAAGACAGGATGGGGCTTTAGGCATTTTTCACCACTAACTACTACTTGAAGCAGGAAAGAGAATGGTGATGGTGAATAAAAATGGAGCCTACTTAAGTGGCCTGCCAAAGAGTCACTTTACCCGCTCTATTGAGCAGTGATTCTCAACCAGGGTGCCTTGAGAATGAAAAAGTGAAAACACTGCTCGAGTGGTTCTACACATCACAAAACCCATATTTGTTCACAAGTCTTAGCTAACATGCCATAGAATGAAAGGTCATGTAAACAAAGCTATTCCCTACTAATACAGTTACAATGGTGCACTATGAAGACTGTTTCAGTAACTCTACCTGGACTGTATGAACTGTGAATAAGTAGTATCCAAGTACTAGCATGTTGTGTGCATCAGGTCTGAGCAGACAGAGGAAAAATAGAAAAAAAGCCCTCACCTTTCTCATCCATTTTGGCACATTCAGCAAAGAGATCTTTTGAACCTGTGTTCACCCTATCCCGATGAAAATAGTGGGACTGGAAAAATCGCGTCCAGAATTCCCTTTCAGTCAGGTTATGTGGAACATTTTCTGCATATTTCATTTTTACTGTAAAACAAACAGTATTTAAGAGGTTTTGTTATTCAAAATTCTTTATTGTATATCAACAACAGGCAGAAGAAGGTGGTTGAAGCTCATGTTGAATGGGCACAGGCAGCCTTTGTGAAAAGATAATGAAAACATTGGCTTTAAGGTAGGGTTACCATACATCTGGGTTTTTCTGGACATGTCCTCTTTTTGAGCCCTCTGATCTCTGGGAGTTTTTTAAAAAAAAAAAATCTGACCAAGTGTCCAGGATTTTGCTTTGTTCCACTGGTGGGATAAGGGGGAGGGTGATAAGAGGCAGCAGGGAATACACATGTACCTGCCCACAGCTGTGGAGGCTCTGATCCCCCTCCCCAGGCTCTCACCAGCAGAGCAAAGCAAAATCCCACACATTTGGTCAGGGCAGGGGGGTGGGGGTTGCCTGTCCCTCCAGGGGAGGAAAGGGGCGTGGAACCTTTGAGGGCAGCAGGGAACTGTGGCCAGCTGGTAGCACAGGGGCCAGTGCTTGCATGGGCTGAGTGGCCAGGAGATGGTGTGGAGGGTGGGGGAAGGGGGACTGGCCAGGCTGCCAGGCATGGTGCAGCAACCCTGTCCCAGGGTGGGGAGTGCAGCAAGCCTCCTCTTCCTTTTCTCTCCAGCCTACGCTGGGGCCAGGCACACTGTTGCCACCTGCATGTATCAGAGCTACCACACTCTGGCCCAGTCAGGGTGGGGATAGCTGGGGCCCCCTGGTAGGGCTGGAGGGAGCAGGGGGCTGCAAGTTGGGAGTGAAGGGTACCAGCAGGGATGGGGCGGGGTGGGAGTTGTGGGTCAGGAGTGAAGAGCACCATCATGGCCCAGGGTGGCAGGATACTGCGGTTTGGGAGTGAGGGGCAGCAGCAGGGCTGGGGGAGCTGTGGCTTGGCAGTGAAGGGCAAGAGCAGGGGAAGGGCACTGGCATGTCACCGCCCCCCTCCACCATCATATTCCTTCACCTCCACCCCTCCCCTGCACCAGGTGTCCTCTTTTTTGGACATGGAAATACAGTAACCCTATTTTAAAAGGGGATAGGAACAAAAAACTAAATCCTGGAGAGAGAAAAGGTTTTTTGCAGTCTGCTTGCAGCGTACAGAGCCAATTTCATGGCAGCTCTGCTCCTTGGTGCTGACTGGTAGAAAAGCCTAGGGGAAGGAGGGTCGAGGGGGCAGCTGCCATCTTGAAAGCTGGCTGTCTTTTGTGTGGCCTCACACCTCAGCACCGATTGGCAGAGACGCCCGGGGGGAAGGAGGGTGGAGAGTAGAGGATGAATGAGGAACATCTAACATCTTGATTACTGGCTGCCCTTTGTGCTACCTCGCCCCTTGGTACCAACTGGTGGAGAGGTGCTAGCAGGGGGAGGAAGAATGAGGGGGCAGCCACCACCTTGTCTGCTGCCCTTCATGCCATCCTGCCAGCCAGTGCCTTCCCCTCTCAGTAGAGGACCACTGGCTCTCACTGGGCAGCCAGCTTTATATTTTTGTTGTCACTGGTGTTGATTTTGTGGACAATCGTGGATTTCATGGTTTCCGTAAAATTAAGTCGGACCTACTTACAAAGGTATTAACCTGGCAAACAGTACATTTGTGCCTATGCAAGAAGTTAGCTGTTTAAAAGGCAGCCTCCTATAGAGTCTCCAAAGGTGTAAACCAGGGGCAGGCAATTATTTCAGGCAGAGGGCCAGTTACCGAGTTTTGGCAAGCCATCGAGGGCTACATGACAGGCAGCCAAGGGCAGATAACTTAAATTTCTAAATTTTTTAGGGGTCTTTCAGGCTGCATTTTGCCCACCCTAGTGTAAACAGATGTCACCTTTTGTCACCATAAAAATTTATATTGCACCATAAAGGTTTATATGGAGGGACAAAGCAAAAGCATCCATACTCTTTACTGTACCACAAATGCCCAAATCTGTGATCAAAACAAAAAGCAAGTAATCATTTGTGCTGCTTTGTTGTGGCGGACATTTGTCTGCTTTATGGCACTCTCCAGCTGCCCCAGGCAGATGTTCTTTGGTCCAGTGTGTCCTGGGAATTCCTGCGCAGGATCAGGCCCACCACTCTTCAGGATCTCCAGGGTATCTTCCTAGAAGCAGGGAAATTTAGGGCTCCCTGCTTCCGAAGACACACCTAGAGATTGGCAGGAGTTTTCACCCAGGAACAAAACCAAACCAATGTCAGCATCTAAGTCCAGTGGTGCGTGTATAAGTCATAAATATAACAACACTCATAAAACTGGTAAAAGTTATTAAAACAGATCCCTTAAAAGGAAAACTCCTCTGACTTTAACATTTGTCCATCAAACTGAACAATTCAAAACAAGTTCTCTTTTCAAGACATAAGATATTACCAAAAGCTAAAAAACACCCCTCCACTGAATTAAGGAAGTAAGATAATAGATATAGCCTAGAAGAGAGTGGGAAGGGAAAGAAGGCAGGCTATATGTTTTACCAACAAAAAGTATAGTATTGGACTTGAGACATCCAACAAATAGTATGCCGTATAACAAAAATTAAAATACGTTATTTTGCTTACCTGCGGGATATGTTCTAAATATGGATTCAATGATATCTGAGGTTAAGTTATACCTCAGACCATTGCAACCATCCGTTTGAGGCCGAACATCAGCCTAGAGAATAAGAGAGGAGAGGATGTTTAAACTATGCAGGAGGGAAAGCTATTAGTTCTAAATTATGACAATGAATGGAGAAGAAAGAAGCCAGATCTCTGGTAGAGGAAAGCTGTTGCAGAAAGAGAGTAATATTCTCCTCTTACATCCCAATATATTTGGCAGTGTGCAAATGTGGGAGAGTAAAATCATTATTTCAACTGTTTTTACAGCTTAGAACTAATACTTTAGTTGGTATTTTAAGAATGATATTAATGAAAATCAATTAAATAAACTTTACTTAAGGTGAGCAAAATTAAAGCAATTAGAGGGCTATGCTGGATTTGAGATGCTCATATTTTAATATTCTGAAGGGGTTAGACGATATGTGTACATAGTAAGACTAAACTACATGTATTCCTTTAATTACCTACTCTTCTGTATTTCTGCCTCATGAAAAGTAACAACACACTAGTGAATTTAACAAATTAAGCATTCCACAGAGATCTGAAGCTGTTGTACACAAAATCTAAGAAAAGGAGTATGTAAGGAGCCATTCATTATAACCAAACATTTTCAGAATTTCAAATATGAAGACAAGCCTTACTACAATTGCAAGCTACCTTCCATAGCCATGCTGAATGGCGTCTATCAATCTCTATACGAGGTTCCGATGTAAAAATCACAGTATCTTTTTCAGTCATTAGCAGGGGGAGCTACAAGTAACTTCCTATGCCTTTTCTCTTTATCATACAAATGAATCCGATTTTGCACAGTAGAATTATTTCCTTAAGTGTAGTGCAGTTGTGCTTGCTTTTATGGATGTATTTTTACTTGAACCAGGATAAAAAGAAGAATTGAAAGTTTTCTTGGAGAGAGACTGTGTGTATCTTCTGATGGGCGATTTCAACTTCTAGTTGTTGGATTTTTGGTTGTAGCTGTGTTGGTCTAAGGACAAAGGCAGGCAAAGTTCGTTGGGTAGATGTAATAACTTTTATTAGACCAGATGAATAGTTTGAAAAAAAGTTCTTTGCAAGCTTTCAGACAAAAATCACCCTTCTTCAGGCATAGAACTTCTCCGCTGTTCTGAACTCCAAGTAATTTCTAGTTGTCAATTTTTCATTAAATTGAGTAATAGTGTAATTTATACAATTATACATTACTAACATTTTGAAACTACTTATATAAAAGCTCTGGCAGAAAAAAAACCCCATTAAATTAATTTGATAACTAAGATTTGTATACATTTGAACATCACGTGGTCCCTAGGGAAAATACAGAGAGCTAACAGGGGGATGGCAGCTCTATAAAGGACAAAGACATCTTGACTTGTGCAATTACTGTTTCCTCCTACCTACAGTTAGTCATTGTAGCTTGGCAGGGAATTTCTAACTGAAGAATCATATATTTAGTAATTTTGTTGCAGAGGTAATAACATGCTTCTGTGGGGCAGACAACAACATGATAGCCTCTGATGCATTTGTATCAGAAAATCAGTACCAATAAAAAAAGTGATTAGAAATTTATTGTGGCCTAGCTTGTGCATGTAAAAAACTGCAAAAACTTTAGTTATATAGATGAGTATTGGAACAGATTCCCTTCTAGTTTAAGACAGGAATAGAAAACATCTTTGAAGCAAGAGATAATGGCTATGAATCTCTTGCTAATAAACTGATCCCTGCTGGACCAAACTAGGAGCTTGCCTTTCTGTTCTACGGAAGACAGATCCACTGTGCAGGAGGAAAATATTAATGTGTTTTGCCTGTTGCCTTAAAGGGTTTCAGTTCTCAATTGATATTCGACATTTTCCTTGATGGGGTGTCTATTACTAGCAATAAGTTTGTTTTCCTTGCATTTGGATAGTCTAACAGAGAGGAATACCAGAGGATTAACAGAAATAAATGAAACAAAATATAAGTGGGTGGGCAGCCTAGCCTTTTCCAAAAGCCACAAAAAAATGTATTTTCTGAATGTTTTGCTTTATAGCCTAATACTTTGCTATTAGAAAGGTTCAACATACCAGAAATGCTGCAGAGATGCCCACATCCTGCTTATTATGTGCCGCAGAACTATCCACTGCATTCATGCTTAAACGGTTGGCCCAGAATTCCTCAGCACTGATTACCTGGCTCACAACAAGGTCTTTATAAAGCTGAAACAAAACAGGATCTTCTTGCAGCATTCTGGTAAAAGAATGAATCGAATAGAATTGAATCACTCCAAAATACTTCACCAGGATCGCCATATCAATCTAGCATGGGTTCAGCAAGGAAAGAGATTGCAAGAGTATAAGAAACACAGAGCACTTTGACAGCAAAGTTACAGCTAGACTTACATGTGACACTGGTCAATCTCAATAGCAGCATGTGTGTCAAAGGGAACAGAGGAGAAAGAACGAAGTTGCTGGCCAAGAGATAACTTTAACGGGGGGGGGGGGGGGGGGGGAAATTTTAAAAA